TGATATGCTGATGGTCCCACATTTTTATTTTTTTTTGAGACAGGGTCTCGATATGCAGTTCAAGCTGGCCTTAAGCTCTCTTTGTAGCTTAGGCTGGTCTTGAACTTGTAAGGATCCTCCTGTCTCAGCCCCTTAAATCCTGGGATTATAGGTGTGCGCCAACACGCTTGGCTTTTTTTCATTTTTTGTCTTTTTGAGCTGGTTTTGCTATGCAGTTCTGGATGGCTTGAACTCACTGTGAGGTGGTAAAATTTTTTGGTTTTAAACTGTTAAAAGTTTACTTTGAGGTTGGCCTCAAACTCGCAGCAATCCTGCTTCAGCCTCCTGAGTGCTGGAATTATGGGCACGTGCCACCAAACCCAGCCCTGATGGACTCACTTCCAACATGACCACTCAAGGACACAGGAGGAGGTTTCAGTTTCTCATCACCTGAGCCTTTTCACGGGGCTCCTCAAAAATTGTGTTCCAAGCATGCAGACAAGACTAAGAAGTCACAGTGTCTATTACAATCTCACAAATGACAAATGAAGCCGAATCTGGTGGCCCATGCCTGTAATCCCAGCACTTGGGAGGCTAAAGTAGGAAGATTGCTTCAAGGCCAGCCTGGGCTACAAAGTGAATTCAAGGTCCATCTGAATTACACAGCAAGATCCTGTCTCAAAAAATAAAAGGACAGATAATCGTTTCTGCTGCACCTTATTGGTCACATAGACAATCCTAGAACATGTGAGAGGCCCACACAGGGAGCTGTACTAGACACTGGCTGCTGTATTATGGAACTTCTGAAGTGAAAGTGTAAGGATGAGCTAGTGAAGAACTTTAAGATAATTGAATATAAAGAGCTTCAAAATGTTAGGTATGAGTATGGTGGAAAAAATATACACATAGTAAGTGGAAAATACGAACACCTATGTTTATAGTGTCACAGGGTGTAATAGTAAATCTTGGAAACAGCCCAAATGCCCATCAACCTAGGAATGGATAAAGATGTGTTTTTTATATATAATTGAGTACTAATCTGCCATAAAGGAGGATAAACTAGCAATTTTTCTAGGTAATTAGATGCAACTTGAGACCTTACTCTTAAGTGAAATAAATCAGACTCATGTTTAAATACCACATTGTTTCTCTGGTGTGAGACACCAAAAGTATAAATGAGGACCAAAATATATAATAGATACTGGGAAATGCGAAGAAAATATTCAAATGAGAAAGGGAACAGGAAGGGAGGAGAGGAAAAAAAGGAAGGAACAAGAAAAATAACTTTTGTAAATGAGGGGAAGGGGGATTAAAGGAAGGGGAGGGGAATGGGGAAAACAGAGGAATTAAAATATGTACAAGTATAAATTCCCTATGAGTGTGAGCATTATGTATGCCTAAAATGTACCAATAAAAAATGAGATACCACAACTAAGTCCTGAAGGACTGGGGATGTGGCTCAGTGGTAGAGCACTTCCCTAGCATGTGTGAGGCTCTGAGATCTAAGCCCCAGCACTGAAAAAACATATAAAATATGTGTTTAAAACCCCAAGCCCAAGTCCTGACACAACAGTAGTTACACAAAGATTTAAAATACAGAGACCTTCATTGGACTAAAAAAAAGTCCAACAGCATATATGCACATAAGGATTTAGAAATGTTGAAAATTAAAGGATCAGGGTTGGGGATTTAGCTCAGCGGCATAAGCGCCTGCCTTGCAAGCAGGTAGTCGTGAGTTCGATCCCTGGTACCGATAAAAAGGAAAAAGACAAAAAAAAAAAAAAAAAAAAAAAAAAGAAAATTAAAGGATCAAAAAAACATTTCACAAACTAGAAAAACCCTGCAGAAAGCTGAGGTAGCCATCCCAAAATAAAAAGTGACGTTACTCATCAACAAGTTAGATATGTCTTCCACAAAAGTGTATTCCTAATAGGGCCTGGATAACACATTTTAAAATTTTTAATTTGCGGGGGGTTTTGTTTGTTTTGTTTTGGGTTTTCTGAGACCGGGTCTTACTGTAATTGGTTGACCTCGAAATTACAGTGATCTTCCCGCCTCAGCCTCCTGAGCGCTAGAATTATAGGTGTGCACCACCAGGCCCAGCACATAAAATTTTAATTTTTATTAGTATGTGTTTGTCGTACATAATGACTGCATTCATCATAGGGACTTGGTACACGTACATAACACATATTAATTCCTTTTATGTCCCCTTCCCCTCTTCTCCCTCCTAGAACATTTTTAGACTTGAGATATGTACCTCAGTTACCATGTTTTACATTCTATAGCTATGTGGTTTTCATACATATGTAGACATAAACATATATAAAACATATATATAGCCCTCTATTTAAATGAAGAAGACTCCTGTTATACTTACACTTGGAAATGACAAAAGTAGACCTTGTTAGGGTACAAAGACAGCCTGGTAAATTTAACATCAATACTAGGGGCGAGGGGACCTAGCATGGTGGCACACACCTGTAATTCCAGCACTCAAGAGGCTAAGGCAAGAGAATCACTGTGAGTTTGAGGCCACCCTGAGCTACGTAGTGAATTCAAGACTAGCCTGAACTACATAACAAGACCCTGTGTCAAAAAACCAAATATATATAGACATAGAGACAGAGAGCATGTGTACACATGCACCAGAGGTATAGCTCATTGGTAGGGTTTTTTCTTAGCATGCAATAGGCCACAGGGTTTTTCTGGCACCAAAAATCGAACTCAGGACTTTGCACTTCCTGGCAGGCACTGTGCCACTGAGCTATATCCTAGGCCTAAGGCTATGGTTTTGATCCCGAACATTACCAAAACAAATAACTACATTAAACATGTTCTTCAAACATATGTAATAACTTTCTATTATAAGAAATTTCCTGCTTTTTGAAAATTAACATTACTAAATAACTCTTGTATGAAGAAATCACACAAGAATTTTAGAAATATTTAAAACAATAGAAACACTATAGGGGGCTGGGGATTTAGCTCAACGGTGTAAGTGCTTGCCAGGCAAGCACAAGGTTGTGAGTGTGATCCCTGGTACCAAAAAAAAAAAAAAGTTGTGAAAGAGAAATAACAACTGACTGTATGATTTAAGAAAACATTATATACAAACTTTGTGGAACACAGCAAAATCAATTAATGGAAGAAAACATATACTTTAAATACATTTACCAGGAAAGCAGAAATGTTAGACAATAAATGATCCAAACCTTAAACTCAAGAAGTTGGAAAAAGAACAGAGGAAAAAAACTAAAAGCTTAAGGCACAAAAGAAATAATATAAAGAAATATGTGCAATAGAGAATAAAAATGAAAAAATGAACAAATTAAACTGGGCATTGTGGTACACCATGCTACTTCAAGCTACTCAGCAGTCCAAGGCAGGAAGATTGCAAGTTTGAGGGCACATTGCTCAATTCAGTGACACCCTGTCTCAAAATTTTTTTTGTCTTTTTTTGAGGCGAGGTCTTGCTATGCAGTTCAGGCTGGCTTTGAGCTCACTTTGTAGCCCAGGCTGGTCTCCAACTTGCAATGATCCTCCCACCTCAGCCTCCCGAGTGCTGGGATTACAGGCTCATGTCCGGCTTCAAGAAAATTTTATAATGCTCTGGGGATATATGTGGCTAGATTCAAAGTCCCTGGATTCAATTCCCAGTATCCAGGAGGAAAGAAAGGAAAACTACAAACAGAGAAGAGGTTAACAGTTTTAAGTTAATACAGTTGAAAACAGGTGAATGTCAAAGTTTCTGGGAAATTTAAATATGCTCAAATTGATGGCAAAAAATGAATAGAAAAGCCTCAATATAACTTTCTTTTTACAAAAATGTAAATGATAAATACACTGCATATTTTTGTACAAAGTCTTGCTTGTACTCTAGGCTGACTTTGACCTCTCTATGTAGCCTAGGCTGGCCTTGAATTCACAGCAATTCTCCTGCCTCAGCCTCCTGAGTGCTAAGATTATAGGCATATACCACTCTCTTGGCTAACACTGCATTTATTGTAACAAAATACATTGAGCCCAGATTTGGATAGTTTGCAGATTGTAGTTCTTATCAAACTGCCAAGATCTCTTCATTTTTGGCTGGGAGTAGTTGGCACATGCCTGTAATCCTAGCACTCAGGAGGCTGAGGCAGGAGGATTGTCATGAGTTCAAGGCCAGGCTGAGCTACATAGAGTCCAAGGGCAGTCTGGACTACATAATGAGAGCCTGCCTCAAAAGTCCTTCTTTATTTGGTGTGGGTTTTTTTTTTTTACTTTAATTCTCTTGTTTGTTTGCTTTGTGGAGACAGGGTTCAGGTTCAGGCTGACCTCAAACTCAGCGATCTTCCGCTTCAGATTCCTAGGACTACAGGTATGCACCATCATGTCCAGCTACAAAAATGTATTATTTAGGAACAAATAATAGGCTCTATGTCAGGAATGCAAATATGATACTAATTAGGAAATTATTGGATGTGGTGGTGTACACCTATAATCTGAGCACTCCAGAGGCTGACGCAGGAGAATCACTGAGCTTGAGGCCACACTAAACTACATAGCAAGTTCTTGTCTCAAAAAAAGATTACTGAGTATAATTTACGCAGAACACTTGCCTAGTACTATCCCTATATTTGACCCCCAGTAACTGCCAAAAAAATTTTACCACATAATGGATAAAATCATATGATTACCTTTGTTTCTACTTTTTAAAATTTTATTTTATTTTCTGATACCAGGGATCAAACTCAAGACCTCACATTTGCCAAGCAGGCACTTAGGCCGCTGATCTGAACCCCCAGCCCTTTTTTCATATTTTCAAGAGGAAAAAAGCCCAGAAAAATCAAAAAGCAATAAAAAAACAAACAACTGCAACAACAATAAAAAGTTATAGTGATAGAGGATTTCGACAGGAATTTAACAATAATTGTCATATGATTATCTTAAAGCAGAATATTTCATAATAGCACCTGTGTATGATTATATTTTAAAAAACAAAAGCTATGTTATTGAAAAAAAAAGGTGCACTCTTTCCTGTGCCCTTTTAAGGTTGATACAGTGCCTTAAGAGGCTAACACAGAAGAGTACAGGAACCCTCCATAAAATCCAGAGAAGAGACTGACACTCCTCTTTGGATCCTGTCTGGAGTCACAGCTGAAAAAAAATAAAAAAATAAAAAATAAAGGTGTGGTATTCCATACCTATAATCCAGCACTCAGGAAGTGAGGCAGGAGAATCAGTGTGAGTTCGAGGCCAGCCTGGGCTCCACAGTGAGTTCCAGGCCAGTCTGAACTACATGGTTCTCACCATGTCTCAAAAGGAAAAAAGAGAGCTGTATACCTACAGCATGGTGGTACATGCCTTCTCATGGCATGCAAGAGGCTGAGGCAGGTCAGATTTTTTTTTTTGTAATGGGAATCGAACTCAGGGCCTCAGCACTTACCAGACAGCACTGCACTGCTGAGCTATACATTCCCAGCCCTGCCCATTTCTATTTATAACAGTGACATGGGTACTGTTAGATGCTCAGCATGAGTCTGGATGGAGTAGCTCCAAGAGTTCTCACTGCTACAGCCGATCTGGCTTACAGATACCACAACATATTAATAGAGCTTCTGAAACAGACACACAGAACATTAGAGAAAAAACAGTTCTCAGGAAAGAAGTTAAAAGTATTTTGAGGGAAAACGCATTGGGATTTGGCCAAGTCAGCCAGAAAATAACCCCCCTAAGGAGTTCCTCTTTAAACACCTCAAGCTCACAGCTATTCACAGCTGGAGAAACGTGAGTGTTAACGAAGAAAAGGGGACATTTTCTCAGCAGAGTTTCTAAAGGTTTTTCTTTGTCTGCCACTGTCTCATCTGCTAGCCATTGGGTTGGGAATCTACATTGGAAGGCATCTGACAACCTGCACCAGCACTTTTTAATGAAGAATTGGGTCTGACTTAGCTCACATGGTGGAGATTTGTGTCTGAGCTTGTGACAGCTAACTTGAAGAGCAATCATGGTCCTTGGGTGGCTACACCACTTGTTTATTCTGTACATGCTGCATTCCTGATTAGCGAAGTGAAAGAACAGACACTAAAATCATGCTCATCTATAATTATACCTATGGAATCAATTAACAAGCATGTCAGACAAATATCTATTGTAAGAATTTGGTAGTAAGTTTTCTTTGGATACTAGATACAAATAGTATAAATATTTTTTAATAAACTAATCATAATATAATGTGGTATTTAAAAATGTATAAGCTTAATTCAGTTAAAATATTTTATATTTCAGAGAATAAAGAACATACTAAAATCACCACATTAAGGGGTTTTCCCAGAAGAAATGTTGTGGCCTTATACTATTGGAGAATATGTTTAATTTAGATGGATACAGATTGTCTATAAAGACCACTTACCTAGCTGAGGATTTAGCTCTGGGGATAAGTGCCTACCTTGCAAGTGCGTGGTCATGAGTTCAATCCCCGGGACTGATTTAAAAAAAAAAAAAAACAAAGAAGACCAATTACCTATATAAATTGTTCTTAAGTAATAGACAGAAGTCAGGAGTGGTGGTGAATACCTATAATCCCAGTCCTCAGGAGGCTGAGGCAGAAGGATCACTATGAGTTTGAGACCAGCCTGGCTACAAAGTGAGTTCAAGAACAGGCTGAACTGCATAGTGACACCCTGTCTCAAAAAGACCAAAAAAAAGGTAATAGAAACCAAGATACAATTAGAAATTCCACTGTGAGTTGGTACACTAAGCAGTTGTTGCTTTCCAAGTCATCACCTTGCGCGGTCAGTTTTCTGACAAAGGCATCTGTTTAGCATCTTTCACCCTTCATTACTCTGCACTACTGGACTTTATCTTGTTTGTGCTCAACTTTTGTGTGCTCTTAAAAAAATCACCTTTACAGTAAGCAAATCTGTGTCTACACAGAAGGCTGGAAATAGAAAAAAATAAATTACTGTCAAATCCTTTGAGGAAAAAAAGAGGCTAAGACAGGGATCAAGAGTGGAAGGCAACACTAATCAATACAAAACTGTCCAATAATAATAGGAAGAAAGACAGTGAGGTGTAAACAGTGGAAACAATTGTTAAACCACATTTGGAAATGATTAGAGAAAAACTAACAGGAAGAACAAGAGTTCAGCAAGGCTTCCAGATATATGGTCAACCTATACAAATTAAACAGTTACTCTCTATTAGCAGTACCTAGTAAGGAAAAGGAGTAACTAGAAATCAATTTAACCAATATAAAAGACTTCTATAATGAAAAAAAGTATGCTAGACATGGTGGCACACACCTGTCATCCCATCACCTTGGGAGACTAAGGCAACAGGATTGGAAATTCACCCCCAGCCTGGCAATCTGCTGAGTGAGACTGGGTCTCAAAATAGTAAACTCCTGGAATCCCAGCACTTGGAAGGCTGAGGCAGGAGAATTGTTTGTAGGTTCAAGACCAGCCTGGGTTACAAAGTGAGCCCAAGGCCAGCCTGAATTGTATGGCAAGACCCTGTCTCAAAAAGATAAGTAAATAAGACAGGCAGATAGATGGATGGATAGATAGAAGTGTTCCTCCAGTGGAAAGGTCCTGGATTCAATACCCAGTAATCCTTCCTGAAAAAAAGAAAAAAAATTAAACGGGGCATGGCAGTGAAAGTTTATAATCTCAGCAATTGGAAGCTGGGGCAGTAAGGTCACTTGAATCCAGAAGTTAGAGGCTAGCCTAGACAACAGAATAAAATCTCATTTCAAAAGAAAAATTTAAATAAATAAATAAATAAATAAACTCTAATAGAAATAGATGATTGGCTGGGGATTTAGCTCAGTGGTGTAAGTCCTGCCCCGCAACCACAAGGTTGTGAGTTCAATCCCCGGTACCAGAAAAAAAAAAAAAAAAGAAAGAAAGAAAGAAATAGATGATCACGGGCCAGGGCTTTACTTAGTGGCATAAGTGCCTGCCTGGCAAGTGCGAGGTCATGAGTTCGATCCCTGGTACAAAAAGAGAGAAAATAATAATCCCCAGGCATTATGGGGCATGCCAGTATTCCGAATACTAGGGAAGCTGAGGCAGAAAGACTGCCAATCTAGGCTACATAGTGAGTCCCTATCTCAAAAAAAAAGACATCTTTGCTGGGAAGATTTCCATTACCCCAAAATATATGGGTTAAAACAATAAGTACTATCTCCCACGGTTTTGGAGAATCAGGAATCATAGAGTGACTTAACTCCTGGATGTTTCTGTTGCAAAGTGTCCGATGAGGTTTCTGTCATCTCAGCTAAAACTGTAGTTGTCTGAAGGCTTGGGTATACTTGTAAGAAACCTTGCTCACAGGTGCTCAAGCATGTAGGGCTAAATCCCTGGCCTGCAGAACATCTTTGTGACCTGGGAGAAGAGGATTTCTTTAGAAGCACAGAGCCGGGTGGGGGCACTGATTACATCATTTTTTTGAGACAGGGTCTCACTGTGTAGTCCAAACTGTCCTTGAATGCACACTGATCCTCCTGCCTCAACTTCCTCAAGTGTGAACCTCCTGCCTCAAGTGTGAACACTCCAAGCTGGAGTGGGAAGGTGGGTTTACAATTTACAATACTTACAAGATTAATAATCAGGCTGTGAGGAACCCCTGAAAATCAACAAGAGATCTATGGGAATTGGCCAAATAGGAATACGGATGACTAGCACACTGCACTCCAAAGATTAACAAATATAATTCGTGTTGGTGGCAGGAGGATGGAGGCAGGACCTTAGGAGGCAAGACAAACTCATTCTACACATAAATAATTTAGTTTATCAGCGTAAAAGAATTCATTCTTCATTGATAGGGCACTCAAAAATGATAAATGTGCCAATGCTATTCTCTGGGAAGGCAGCTCAGATACTGAAGGCTGGACAAGACTACGTTGTTGGCAGTGAGTTCACAGTACTTTTACCTTAGATTTCAATGTGTATTATCAAGTCCATTCTGTAAATCAAAGCCTCAATTCCGCTGAGTGACAGAAAAATTCGTCCGGAGGTTGGAATTTATTATACCCTCTGGAAACAGGACAGACCCCGATTTGCAGAAGGCATCAAAGATAATGTACTGATAGGAAAATCAGGAGACTGGCTTAGGGAGACAATCAGATACGGATGAAAGGTGAAGTCAGAGATTAAAAAGGATGACACGAGTGAAAAAGGTTTCATTGACAAGTAAGTGGCTAGTGGACACAGAGGAGCAAGTAAAGGGGTTTGGGTCAGTTACGGAGAAAATGTAGAGTCTGATGGCTAGGACTGTGAAAGGCGATAACTTCCAGGACACTAAGAAATAAAACGTCCAAAAAAAAAAAAAAAAGAAATAAAACGTCCAGCCCTTGAGGCGTATGAGGTTAGAGAACCAGAAGGTAAAGGGAGCCTCACATCAGAAGACGGTGATTATGTTGACAGGGATATACAGCAATAGTGAGAAGGAACTCAGATCCAAAGGGGAAAATGACGTCAAGGACAGTGAGGATAACATCAGAGACGAAAACGGATAGGTGAGCTAAAACGATCGTGCGAAGAAACGAAACGTACACAGCTCGGCTGGTGAGCAAATGCTAAAGACACCAAACGCAAGAAGTTAACCTGTGCACTCGGAAGCACACAGGACACTTTGCTCCCTCCGCTCTGCCGTCGCTTCCTCTCTTGTAGCCCCGCCCCTCCTGACTTCAGCCAATGAGCACACACGCCAACAAGCGCTGGGGGACGTCCCGTGACGTATTTGCTACGTAGGCTTTATCAGGCGCCTTCCCGCGCACGCGCTTCCCTGTTCTCCTTGTTCTTCGGAGGTTGCGGTGTGTGCTGCCTTGTTGCTTTCTAATTCCCGGGTAAGCGACATACATCCTGCGGGACAGCTTCTTGTTTCAAGTTCGCCCTGTAGGCCGGAACGGGAGACATAAGTAGGAGAGTAGCGGCCGCTGACACGTAGGCCTGGGCGTTCCGGGAGCGGGGAGAGCTGGTTTCCAGGGGTGAAACTTCTCCGTTGATGGGAAGCCAGCGCGAATTGCTCGAGGGCGAGTAATGCCGGAGGGACTGGTGGCGTCGCCAGTAGCCCTAACCACGCAACAGCGGAGACCCTCTGCCTCCATTACCCACGTGACCGCCGCCATTTTGTTCTGGGAGCGCAAAGGGCCGGCAAGGCTGGTCTGCGCCTGCGCGGCGGCACAAAATGACGGGCGTGGTCGCAGGGGACATTTTGGGCATGCGCGGCGGCCTTCAAATGGCGAACGCCGTGAGCCCACCCGCCAGATTCCTGCCTTTTCAGACTTACTTCTGTCAAGTGTCTTTTAATTTGTTTTTACTATTCTCCCTCCCTTACCTTAACTTTTTCCCAACCTTTCCTGAAGCAGGACTCAAATTCACTGACATGTCTTCTGAAGAAGGGAAGCTTTTCGTTGGCGGGCTCAACTTCAGTACCGACGAGCAGGCACTGGAAGACCACTTCAGCAGCTTTGGGCCTATTTCTGAGGGTGAGACATAAGTCAGACCTTGGGCTGGGGCAGGGGTGAGAGCAGAGTTGAGACATTTGCATTCGTGGAACATTAGGAAAATAGAACTTAGCTCTAAAGTCCTCCATAATGAAGCTGAACACTGTAGCCTATACCTATGATCCCAGCACGCAGGGAGCCTGTGGCAAGATGATCACAGTGAGCTCCAAGCCAGTTTGAGCAAGACCTTGTCCCAAGAACCCAGTAGAAAAAAGGGTCAGTGAGACTGGAGTCCATTCATTGTTACCTTCTTTTTCAGACCCCTTCTTGGCACTGAATCTCTTTAGATGCTGACTAATCCACATTTCCTGTTTTTCTAGTGGTGGTTGTCAAGGACCGGGAAACTCAGCGATCCCGGGGTTTTGGCTTCATCACCTTTACCAATCCAGAGCACGCCTCAGATGCAATGAGAGCTATGAATGGAGAGGTGAGATTCCCTACCTGTAGAGGGCTACATCTGCCACTTCCTCCATTCTTTCGTTTTTCCCTCTTTGTCTGCTAGGGGCAGCGTGGCCATGAAGCCCCGCAGTGCCCACTCACAGGAGCGTGACTGCCTTCTGTTCTAGGGGGTGGAGGGCAACGGCAAACAGAGCCGGGCTGCCTGGGAGGCGACGACTGGTCCTGCATGAGGCCGAGAAGCCACCTGTGGATGGTTGACCTGCTCTGGGCTTAGGTAGTAGAGTCTGCAGACCTGTGGGCCTGGCCCGGAGAGGACCTCGTGAGTCTTCTGGGATGGACTCTGAAGCCTCAAATCGAGAGGTGTCTGTCTAGCCCTAATAGTTGGGCAGCTTAGAGGAGTGGGGAGGAGAACTCTGCCTGAGTTCAGTCAAGATGTAAGTAGTAGCAAGGGGGAACATGGTGGATTCAGGACACTGTGTGGGATTCCATTGCTCCTGATGAAGCCATTTTGGTGAGAGGAGCTTGTTTTGGAACGTGGCACCCAGAATCTGGTGTCCAGCAGGAATTTCTGGGCTCTTGCCCACCTGCCCATGCCCACTCTACTGGCACCATTGCCTTGGCTGACTACCAGTCCATCTTCCTTGTGTCTCCCTCCCACACTTAGTCCCTGGATGGTCGCCAGATCCGTGTGGACCATGCAGGCAAATCTGCCCGGGGCACCAGAGGAGGGGGTGCTTTTGGGGCCCATGGACGTGGTCGCAGCTACTCTAGAGGTAAGTACAAAGGTAAGGTTCCTCATGAGGTGAAGGGAAGGATCATCTGTTGGTGGCCTGTGTTTAGACAACTGTCAGTTAATCATTTCTGTCTGATTAGGTGGTGGGGACCAGGGCTATGGGAGTGGCAGGTATGACAGTCGACCAGGAGGATATGGATATGGATATGGATATGGGCGATCCAGAGACTTTAGTGGCAGGTGAGTAACTTGAATATGGAACTTACCTTGTATTATACTGTATGCTGATCCTGTTGAGTGGTTTTCTCTTATGTTAATAGGAAATGTGCTTTAATTTGTTTGCTTCCTGAATGTGTTTCATAAATCCTGCTTTAGACAATTAAAGCTTGCATTGTGGTACAGACTACAAAATGTGTGTATGGTTTCAGTGTTCTGTGTGTTCTAGAATGCATTCTTGTCAAGCAGTTGTGTTTTTTTCCCCCCAGAAGCCAGGGTGGTTATGACCGCTACTCAGGAGGGAATTACAGAGACAGTTATGACAACTAAGAGGCTTATAGACATGACGTAAGTGATAACCTGAGTATTGGTACTACAAACCTCTGCCCATTGGACCCTGTTGTATCCCTCTGACCTTGTCTTCAGGCTGGATTTCTCAGCATTCTACCACCTTCACATACCTCACCAGCCCACCCACCAAACCATTCCCAGGCCTGCCCTGCTCTTAGGTGCATGTCAGAGTTAATCTACTGGTGGGGGGGGGGCGGGGGGGACTAAAAACCCATCTGCAGTGATCCCCTACTCTGCAGATGAAGAGGTACTTGCATTAGCCAGCCCTCAGAATCTTTGTCCACTCTGGGAGGTGAAAATGTCAACCTGTTTCTTCCTGACATCACAATTTAGCCCTTCTTACTCTTCTCAGATACACAAGGAATAGCACTTCTCATCCAGAGTCATCCTTCCAAATCGCTGTGTACAAATTTTTGGAGCTGCGCTGAAACTTATTTAGTATAATACCTATTTTTGAAAGGAGCTCCCAAGGTATCTTGTTAAAGACCTTTTAGAAAACTCTGTGTGTTCTTTAATTTCTCCCCATTTAAAGACAAATTTCTGGGACATTTGTAGAGTTATGGGGATTTTTCCTTTACAAAAGTTTGTACTCTCAGGATCGTTGCTTCTGGCAAAAAAAAAATTGCCAGACTGATTTTTTTTAAGGGTATCTGGGGATATTTTTGAAACTTGTATACAATTAATAATGACTAGAAAGTGATGTTTGAATGTACCTGTAAGCAGTCTGCATCAAGTTGCCAAGAGCTGTTTAATTGAAGATCTACCATCATGATTATAAGAGCTTCTTAAGAATGTTAATGTAATTTTTTTTTAAATACTGGAAGAAAAAATATTCTTTCATGTTTCATGTAGTGTTTAGGGTATTCTTCAGCGCTGATTAAAAAGATGAAACCTAAACACAAGTTGATAGTGATTGCTTTTTCTTTACCACAGTTCATAAATTTTTAAAGAGGCAGGTCAGGAGGGAGGAAGACTTGGAGAATATTCAGTGGGGAGGTGAGGCAGGGATTTTGAGAAGGGTAGAGTCCTCATGTTTGGGCTTGGTTTGAGTGTATGTTGAGGCCTGAGGTATAATGGGTATAGGTAAAATTATGGTTGGAATTGGGTTTCCCAATGTGGTTTTGCAGTTCCATTGTCTAATCAGGGTTTGCTTGAGTTTGACTTCCTGCTTTCTCTGAGTGTTACTTGAGCATCCTCGTAACATTGTTCTGAGAAAGCTAGATATAGTGTCACATAGCTGCAATCCCAGCACTTGGAAGGCTGAGGTAAAAGGATCACCATGAGTTCCAGGCCAGCCTGGGCTGCACAGTGAGACCTTGTATCAACTCCCCCACCACCATCACTGGAAAAATTGATTGATTAGGAGTAAAAGCACCTAATCTCAAGATACGTACTCCTGGCCCTGTCATAAACAGTAACACCACTTTCCTCCCCAGAAGTGATGGGAGTTGGGTACTAAATTCAAGTCTGTGACACATGACAAACCTGGTTTGAAAAGTGGGTTCTAAGAACTCTAGCACAGAGGAGGCTGAGACAAGAGAATCTCTGCAAGTTCCAGGCCAAACCACATTGCATAGGGAGACCCTGTCTCCAAAAACAATACCTTAAGACTGAATTCTGATATAGGCCCCGCTACTTCAAAACGGGTTTGCCTTTGATGAGTCACTTGCTCAGTGGGCACTCTACACAAAGGTTGAACTGAGTAAGGACATAAGGCCACTGTGGACAGTTGGCAGAGCTCACAGGCATTTGGTCACATACCCTGGTGGGTCTTGGATAGTAAAATGATGGTCCTTTGTAGTCTCGTTTTTTTTTTTTTTTCCTGTGTTCCAACTGCTCTTAGTTTCCCAGTGATGACTCCATTACCATTGTTCTAGTGGCTATCTGTATTAGGATGCTATGGATATTCTCATTTAGTTCCTAAAAATCTGGTAGGTGTACAGTCATATACCATGTAGCAAGTTTCAGAATGCTGCCAGCCATACTCCCTTATTCATGGGGCCTGCTAGCATGTTACTGGTGTCCTAGTCTTGGAGACCTTTTCTCAGGTCCCCCAGCTAACTGCTCTACACTCTTCTTTCTCACACCTGAATGAATAGTCAGTTGTCTCTGGCAGGTTGATGGACATGTATACCTAAGAGCATTTTGGCTAGTTAGCCCCATTGGATGGATACTAGGTCTGAAAAAAGGTATATGCTGAGCCTTGGGAGAGGGAGAACCATGTTACTGCTTTGTAAGCGGTGGAGCATCCTGTCCTTGTCCCAGGATGAGCTCCTGTCCTTGTCCCAGGATGAGTGTTCTCTTGCCCTCGTCGCATCCCAGTCAACTCTGCATCAAAGAGTCCGCTAGGTGAGATCAGTAAAGACCCAGATAGTCTCACACCCATGTAACAAACTGCACCTGGCTCAGCTTTTTAGATGTTAGATGAATTGCAGTGCAGCCATGGGAGGAGGCCCAATCTACCTTTCTTGGTTCTGAGGGAAAGTTCCTAGGAGACCCACAGCAGCTTTCTTTTGAAGTGCTTGTTGATCTGCTTTAGCTTGGTCAACATCCCACAAAGGAATCAGATTCCCAAGAAGCTTCAGACATTCAGAAATACCTTGAGGGAGCTGGATGTTTAGCTCAGCAGCATAAGCGCCTGGTGTAAGCAGGCAGTCGTGAGTTCGATCCCCGGTACCGATAAAAAGAAAAAACACAAAAAAAAAACTAAACACAGAAATACCTTGAGAACATTCCAAGGCTTGCAAAGCCATTTTCAATCCCTAATCTTGTCTATTTAAAAAGCCTATGGAGGGCTGGGGATTTATCTCAGTGGCACAAACACCTACCTGGCAAGCATGAGGTGAGTTTAATCCCTGGTACTGAAAAAAAAAAGCCCATGGAAAATTTCTGTTGGTACCAGACATCACTCCCAGGGCTTTGAACTAGGGGCTGGGGATTTAGCTCAGCAACATAAGCACCTGCTTTGCAAGCAGGCATTTGTGAGTTCGATCCCCAGTACCGATAAAAATGAAAAAAGACCAAAAAAAAAAAAAAAAAAGATGCTCAGGGCTTTGAACTGAATCCTGCCAAATATTGTAAATGGCCTACCTTTCCCTTTCCACTTCAGAGCCCCAGAATAAACTATATGTGAGCTTTCAAATCCCAAGTCCCTCAGAAATCACTTCAGATCTTACAGTACTTAGCTTAATTTCTGCTGTTTCATAAAAGAAATAGCAATAGCACCCATTCCAGAGGAGTTTGGGATATCAAATGCATGACATTCAGAATAGGCTAGGTCTGGGATATGTACCCCACCCTCTTGCTTACATGGATTTGGAGGTTGTGGAAAATAAAACACAAATTGCTGTGACTACCTTGTCTATAAAACATAATAGCCAGTGTTTCTGCAATCAAACCTGCTAGTCAAAGTGAAACTTGCCACTCCTTGCCCAGCTGCGTTCCTTTCTCAACTAGCTAAGGCTTTGTGACCATCACTTGATTTTCTAACTAGCTACACATAAGACTCAACTAGGAAATATTAGCAGTGTTGGGTTATGAGAAGCTGCCGTAGAGCCTGCTGTGTTGAGGGGAATCAATTCAGGCTGGCCTTGAACTCAATGATCCTTCCTGCCTCAGCCTCCCAAGGGCTGGGATTACAGGCATGGGTTGCCATGCCTGACCCTGCAGCTTCAATAATACTGGAAACAGTTCATAGCATTATTCTGAATAAACATTTTAAATAGCGTGTTTTGCAGGGGACTGAGGGAGTCAAACCCAAGGCCTTAGTACATGCTAAGTTAAGTATAACAGTACCATTGAGTGTGATCTTTAGCCCCCAATTTTTTTTTATCGGTACTAGGGATTGAACTCACAACCGCGCACTTACAAAGCAGGCACTTATGCCACTGAGCTAAATCTCCAGCCCTAGCCCCCAATTTTTATGATAGACATATCTTCATGTTACACTGAAGGTTGGAAAATCAACATAACTCTTGCATTTTATTTTTTTGACCCTTGCATTTTATAATGCAAAAAATAAGTGGCATATTCTCCTTTGAGAAACCGCTAGCAAAACACACATGAAAGATAAGCACTCTACTTCCAGAGCTATGGCACTAAGGTCCCGTCTGAGAAGCTGACTGTAAAGGTGTAAGCTAAATTGCAGGGTTCTGTAGAGACAGGAGCTATAACACCAGTCTTCTGTGTTAGGGTTAGAATCATGGGACTTGGCTGCTCCATGCTACCTAAAGTGCACAGCATGAAACAGAATTTTGCTAGTTGGCTTACTAAGAGATTATTTATATAATGATTTTCCCTACTAGGAAATTTAGTCTCCTAGGAGTCTCCTAGGAGATTTAACAGGAACAAAAAACTTAAGAGTATGTCTACCAGAGAAGGCATGCCCACCTACTTATCACCCAGCACACCCCTTTTTCCTTGATAACTTGAACACAATTTACAGTCCTAGCTATGAGTACTGACTTTGTAAAATGAATGAATAATTAGTTCCCCACACTTACTGTTTGTGTGTCTGATTTGGGGTGGTTTTTTTCCCCCTTAGGATTCTCACTGTGTAGTTCAGGCTGCTCTTGAACTCACTGTATAACTCAGGCTGGCCTCAAATTTGCAGTGATCTTCCTGCTTTAGCCTCCCACGTGTGTGCACTGCCACACCCAGCTGTGTTTTAAATTTTACCCTCTTAAAGTGTGGCTGGCATAAACAGTATACATGCTTCCATGTGTGTCTATGGTGGGAATGCTCATTACCTTGCAGATCTTACAGTGTACAGTACAGTGTGAACTTTAATCACCATGGCTGTTTTATCTGCAGAGCCTGTTTCTCTTAAAGTTGATATAACTTGGCCACCATTTCCCCACTCATCAGCATCTGATTGCTATGGTACTGTTTTATTTTTTGAGAAAGACTCTTGTAGTTTGGACTGGCTTCGAACTCACAGTAAAGCCAAAATTGATCTCAAAACTTGGGATCCTCTTGCCTCAGTCTCCTGAATGTTGAGGCATGTGCCACTATGCTAAACTAAAATTTTTGAATACGACATGTGAAATGTTTTTATCTTAAGGTGACTGGTTTATTTTACTTAAAATGTGTTCTAGGTTCATGTATGTTCTATGTGGCACTTTTCTCTTTTAAGACAATATGAGGTCACGTATGGTGGCGCATGTCTGTAATCCCAGCACTCAGGCTGAGGCAGGAGGATCGCCATGAGTTTGAGGCCAACCTGGGCTACACAGTGAGTTCAAGACCTGTCTCAAAAAAAAAAAAACCCTCTGGGGATATACCTCAGAGGCATAACACCTACCTGGCAACCACAAGGTCTTAAGTTCCATTTCCAGTACCCAAAAAAAATACTGTACCATGTTTAGCCATTCATCTGTTGTGGACATTGTAGTTTTTTTTTAATGTGTTTTGGTTTTGTCTTTAGATAGGGGGTTTTGTTTTTATATAGGGGAGATACTGGGGATTGAACTCAGGGTCTTCACAGTGAGCCACAACCCCACCCGTTTTTGTACTTTAAAACAGGTTCTCATTAAGTCACTGAGTTGCCCAGTCTGGGATCAAATTTGTAGTCATCCTACCTCAGCTACCATGGTGCTGGGATTATAGGCTGTGTCAACATATGCAGCTCCTTTTTTTTTTTTTGTATCCTTGCGTTTGTGAATAATGCTCTAATAAAAATGGGAAAGTAGATACCCCTTGGAGATACTGAGTTCCATATATTTTGAAACTATTCCTTAAATGGGGTTGCTGGATCCTATAGTAACTACTTTGTTGTGGGGAGGGTAAGACAGGATCTGGCTATGGTCCTGAATTCCTGGGCTCAAATGGTCCTTTTTTTGGTGGCATCTGGGAATGTTTTTATTTCTTCTTCACCTGGAAAGAATGATTTTTTGCAAGTGGTCCTTTCACTTCTGCTTCCTAGATAGTTGGGACTACAGATGTATACCATGACTAGCAGTAGTTGTACATTTTGAAGTACCTCTAGTTGTCCCAATGGCTCTTCCCATTTACATTCCCACCAACAATGTGTGTTTCTTCATGAACTCAGCAATCCCCTCCTGCCTCAGCTTCCTGAGTGTTGGGGTTAGAGGTGTATGACATCAGGCCTGGCCTGACTTTTGGGGGCTTTGTTTTGTTTTGTTGGCAGCATTGGGATTGAATACAGGACCTTATGCATGATAGGCAAATGCTCTACCAATAAACCAGCCTTTGATAAATTTTATTTTGACTGGATTTCTGTAAATTCCCAGGCTAGCCTTGAACTGATCCCCCTGCCTCAGCCTACTGAGTAGCTGGGACTAAGGCATGTGCCACCTGGCCTGGTGTGTTTTGATTTTTAAAACATTACAAGGATTGAATCCAGAGCCTTGACTATACAAGGCAAGTATTCTGCACTGAGCTACACTCCCAGCCCTTTTAAAATTTTATCTTTAATTTTTGCTTTTAAAAAACCTCAAATTTAAACTGGACATGGTAGTGCATGCCTAAAACCCTAGCACTCGAGAGGTTGAGGCAGGAGGATCCTTGGGAGTTCAAGGCCAGACTGAACTGCATAGTGAGACCCTGTCTATTCAGGTCAGGCTTCCTGGCATTTTACTGTTAAGACACAAATGCTTTCATTTTCCTTAAAATGTGTGAGTTTAAAGAGCTCAGAGGTCCACACTACCTGGGCCTCCCCAGCCCCCTTCCCTTCCTGCCTCAGCTGCTCAAAGCCCCATGGCACCGAGGTCAGGCCAGCCGCAGGCCATGTGACAAAGCTTCAGCCTCAGGCCCTGGTGCCCTCTAGCCACACAAGCCCAGCCTATCTGGAACAAAACGGTCCCCAGGGAACATAGTTGCTGACTTCAGACCTATCCCCCCAACCTACGCAGAGTCAGGCATCCCCAGATGTGGCAAGGACCATGCCGACAGTTTTCCCTGGTCCCTACTCTACCTGTATGCTCAGAGCCCAGGGCCTGTTATGGTGGTTGCCCCTGAACCCCTGGGGTCCATGGACCTATCCCTGCCTAGAAGTTGGTCCTTTTGGGCTAAGCACTGGGCAGTGAACTCCATGTAGCTGTAACCCTGGAGTAGCCAGAGAATGGGTCACACAGGATGGTGACACGGTGGGCCTACCCACAGGAGTGGAAGTGGGCTTCCAGTTTCTTGGCCTGGAAACATCTGTGCTGGGTCTCCACCTTCCCCATGGAGGCCCCTGGAAAGGGGCAGCCTGCAGTCTCTGCAGCACCCTCTTCCCCCCTGGCCTGGGCCTGCAGGCTGGGTGGCTCTATTGGCCTACAGCTTTTGCCTGATAGCCTCCATCAAGCTCCAGCTCCTGGGCAGCTCAGGGGCCCTTGGCCAAGCTCTGGGGCTCCAGCAGCACCTCCCTACTGTGTCCATCCTTGGCTCCAGGGTGTTCTTCTCAGTCCTGGTTCAGGCACCCTAGCCGTGGGCCTCAGGTCCTAGAAGACCATGCAGGAGGAGGCCTCTGTAGAGGGCTGGTGAGGCTCAGGAAGGGCCATGTGGATGCCCTTGATTTGATTTGGAAGATAGGGGATTGCTAAATTGTCTGAGCTGTCCGTAGCCTTGAGATTCTTGTGTCTCAGTCTCCAGGCTGGCCTAGAACTCTCAGTGATCCTCTTGCCTCAGCCTCCTGAATGCTGAGATCACATTAGTATGCCATCATACCTGGCCTGTATTTTGACTTTTTGATAATAACTTTTTTTTTTTGATGGTAGTGAGGATTGAACCCAGGGTCTTCACAATGACCTTTATCCCCAGGCTTTGTATATTATGTTGAGAGAGGGTCTTGCTAGATCACTAAGTTGCCCCCAGGCTGAGCTAGAAATTTGAGATCTACCTGCCTCAGCCTCCTAGAGTGTAGGGATTCCTGTATCCCTGCCTGCTATGAGTCATTTTAGCTAATATGCAGGTGATATCTCTTTGGGGGTTTGATTTGTATTTCCCTGATTATTAAAGATGTTGACCATCTTTTCATGTACCTTTTGGCCATTTGTGTGTGTTTGAAGAAATGTTTTTTCTTTTGCTTTGTTTGCGTTGCTGTTGAGTTACATGAGTTATATATATTTTAGATATTAACTCTATCAGATAAATGCTTTGAAAATATTTCCTTGTAATGTTTGCTTTTTCATAGTGTGGATTTTCTTTGTTGTGTGGAAACTATGTTGACATCTCATTTGATTATTTTCGATTTCATTTCCTATGCTTTTAGTGTCATATTCAAAAAATTAATTGCTCACACGAATGGCAAAAAGCATTTGGCCTTTTTTTCCTCTAGGAACATTATTAAAGCTTTTGGATCTTATGTTTAAGTCTTTAATCCGTTTTGTATCCATTTTCATATGTGGTACTTAATAAATGTCCAATTTGACTAGTTTTCATGTGGATATCTGCTTTTCAACACTTACTGAAGAGGCTGTCCTTTCCCCACTGTGTGTTCTTGGACCTGTTTATCAAAGACTTATTGTAAGCTGGCATGGTGGAACATACTTATAATCCCAGGATTTGGGGAGGCAGAGGCAGGAAGATAGCAAGTTGGAGCCCAGCCAGAGCAGTTTAGCAAACCTCTCCCAAAATAAAAAATAAAAAGGGTTTAGATGTAACCCAGTGTGAAGTCCCCAAGTTCAATCTCCCACTATTACTCCCCACAATTTTTTTGATGGAGTCTGTATGTGCAGGTTTTGTGGTAGAGGGCAGGCTTATCCTGCACAAGGCCCTGGGTTTGCTGCACAGCCACATGCCAAGATGATCAATTGTACATTGAACATTATTCCAGGGCCCCAATCCATTGAGTTTAGTGGTGGTTTTTATACAAGTACCATACACTTGTATTACTATACCTTTGAGGTTTTTGCCCATCTACGGGCATCTCAGTTCTGACTGAGACTATGAACAGTTGTCACCATGAAGACCTCGGGATTGTGAGAGCTTTGGCTTCAAAGGCAAGCATTTTCCCATTAGGAAACGGTGAACTCCAAATTAGGAGCCCACATACCAACCGGCACCTACCCATTTTGTAAGAAACTCCAGGGGTAATGAATGGAGATGCAGTATCCCTACCCCAGTGACAGTTCAGCTCTGCGACTCCCATTTTACTGACCTACCTTCCTCAGCACACCCCTTGTCATCCCTAGGCACCTAGGCTTTCTCTCAAATCACATCCCATTTTGTCCCCTGAAATTAGAGCCCCAGCTTCAGATTTCATGTCAGCTTGTGCTAGTCATGAAAAGTAGCCAATGTGGTCCAGTGCTTTCCTCTGTGTTTCTAAACCCTAGGAGCCAAAACAGGCAGGAGGCACAAGAAGGAAGGGTGAGCCAGGCATGTCTGGGCCTCGGCCCTTGGGAGGCCAAATAGGCGGCTCTTGAGCTCGAGGCCAACCTGGGTTACATGGAGAGATCCTGTCTTCAAAAGTAGAAGGAAGAATGAGTCTGGGAAACTGAGTGTTACAAAGGAGTGGGTAGAACTCAAGGGGTGGAGCCTCCGTCCAGTGCCGGAAGCTACTGTCCGCGGCTTGCAAGACTCCCACGCCCTGGGAAGTATTCTATCGATTCACTCTGTGCTCCGCAGCCTGTTCTGGCAGCAGGCGGCCATCTTGCTTGGAACCTGAGAAAAGGAGAGACAGAAGAAACGGGTGACACTGGTCTCAGGGCCGCCCCGGGGGCCTCGAGAGCCGGAGGCAGCCCCGGAGGTGGTCCTCAATCCTGGGCTATGCTCTCGGACCCAAGAACCGAAGGCGGAGGGTGGCAGGGGCAAGATGGGTCGGGAACATCAAACCAGGATTGCTAGGCTGGGGGAGGAGCGTTGCTATGGGGACGGGGAGAGGCGGGTCAGGTATGAATTGTTCTTGTGAGTCACCTGGGTGCTGCCCAGGAAGGGCAGGGCTGAGGTGATGACCATAGTAACAACCCGATGGAATTTTGCGACGTTTCCAGCATGGAGGGACTTGGTATCACGGCCACCTGGTAGAAGGGGCGGAACTAGATCCCTTCGCTGGGGACGCTGACATTCCCAGCCCTTGTTCTGCAGGCTTCCGGGGCGGACACGCCAGAGGAGGAGGCCAGGGAATGGCCGCGGTGTGGCAGCAAGTCTTAGCAGTGGACGCGAGGTGAGGCGTGGGGTCTGAGCCCAAGGGAAAAGAACTTACTGTGGTGCATGCGCAATGGCATAAGTGGGGCTGAGTGGGCATGCTGAACATGAACATGCGCAGTAGACCATGGGGGCATACCTTCAGAGAGAATACGCCCAGCTGGAGAGGGTCCCAAAGAGCATGCTGGGAAAATGCAGGCAGATATGAGCAAGCGAAAAAGACGCTGTTTTGGGGAGAGCAGGATGGAGCTTTAGGCTGGCAACTTCCTAGCCCTCACTATTGCTCCCCACTCCTTTTCCTACTACCATCACTACCCCAGCTTGCCCCGTTGCTGCACCTCATACTAACTTGCACTATTGCCCTATAATAACCTCATAGTGGTGCCAGTCTGACATCTACCACCATGCTAGACTGACCCTTGTTACTGTTTGCACTGTCATCCCATATTGACTGCAGAAGAGCTGCAGACTGACTCTCATCCCCATACTGACCTTATTATGATGCCCATTACTACTGCTGAATCACCCCTATCACAGCACTAGGAGGAACCCCCAACACTATCATCGATCATTCTTGCCACCCTGACTCCATTCACTGCCACACACCTCATTTCTCCTGCCCTCTGCTCCAAGCTGATTGATTTCCTCTGTCCTATGCCTGCTGCCTGCTCTGCCTCCTGATTCTGCAGATACAACGCGTACCGCACACCAACATTTCCACAGTTTCGGACCCAGTATATCCGTCGGCGCAGCCAGCTGCTGCGGGAGAATGCCAAGGCTGGGCACCCCCCAGCACTGCGGCGGCAGTACCTGAGGCTGCGAGGCCAGCTGCTGGGCCAGCGTTACGGGCCCCTCTCTGAGCCAGGCAGTGCTCGTGCCTACAGCAACAGCATCATCCGCAGCAGCCGCACCACCCTGGACCGCATGGAGGTGAGCTCCTGTCCACAACCAACCTGCTGCTTTATAGCCGGGTTTAGCTGGTGGGCCTTGGCAGGCCTTCACATTGAGCACCAGTGTCATTAAGCTCCTGTGCTAGCAGGCCACTGTTCCTGGGATTTAGGGTCAGTAGAATACAAAAAGATACACCAACTTCGTCAGCAGACACATAATAAATGACAAAAAAAAAAATAACTCCAGAGGCTGAGGCAGGAAGATTGTTGCAAGTTCGAGACCAGCCTAGGTTATAAAGTGAGCTGAAGGCCAGCCTGAACTTTACAGCCTGACAAAACAAAGCAAAAGAAAAATATGTGAAACATGCTAGATAAACGTATCAATAACTACCATGCTGGGTATTGAGAAATGCTATGATGGAAAAATAAAGCAGAGTTGGGAGAGAAAAGGGCCTAGTGTGTGTGGCTGGTATATAGCTCAGCAGCAGAGCAGTTGCCTAATGTGTGTGAGGTGCTGGGTTCTGCCCCTAGAGCCACACACACAAAGGACTAGTTGGGGGGGGGTGCAGAAGGAAGCCATGAGGCTGATCAGGAAAGACTGCTCTGCAGTGGTAACAGCGGAGATCTGAATAAAGTGAGTAGTTTTCTAGATGAGAGTGTTTATCCTTTGTGCAGTGAACAAAATACTGAACACATTAGCATATGTTGACTATGTGCTGAGCAGAGCAAGGGTGGGGGAACAAGTAAAGGGGCCACTGCAGCACTGCAGGCCAGCAATGATGGTGGCATATGTGGTGAGAAAGGGCCAAGTTCTGGATGTTTTTTGAAGACTCCAGACCTTGAAAGTTCTCAGGAGGTTTTTTTGATTGATTGTTTTGTTGTTTATGGTTTTTTGAGACAGGATATTACTATGTAGTTCAGCTGGCCTTGGACTCATTTCCTAGGCCAGGCTGACCTGGAATTTGCTGTGATCCTTCTTTTCAGCCTACCCAGTGCTGGGATTACAGGTGCACGCCACCACACCTGGCTCAGGAGCTATTTTTAATTTGCATCCACCCTGAGTCTGTCTCTTGCAGGACTTTGAGGATGATCCTCGAGCTCTAGGTGCCCGTGGGCACCGCCGTTCCGTCAGCCGTGGATCCTACCAGCTGCAGGCCCAGATGAACCGAGCGGTCTATGAAGACAGGTATGTAACAGAGACAACTGAGGGTGGCAGTTGTTGAGAGGGGCACAGGGGCATCATGGGCTGAACACCTGCATCTGTTTCCTGTCACTCTTCTGCTTGGGGCCCAGGCCTCCCGGCAGCGTAGTACCCACGTCAGCAGCTGAGGCAAGTCGAGCCATGGCCGGTGATACATCGCTGAGTGAGAACTACGCCTTTGCTGGCATGTACCATGTTTTTGACCAACACGTGGATGAGGCAGGTGAGCCTGGGGGTGGAAGGTCCTATCACTAAACATTTGTCCGAACAGTGGCCCAAGGTGTCTTTCTAGAGTGCAAGGCCCCAGGTAGCCCTCTGAAGGAGGAATTACCACCCGTAGCACCTTAGGCAAACCCAGAAGCTCCCTGTGATGTGCTCCACAGTCTCAGTACTTTAGATACCAGGAAGGACCTCCTTGGAAATGTGGAGGAGCACTTTGCAGCAGGCTACTTGGGCTCATGAGTCCCTTGGAAGGGTTCAGAGCTGCTGCGAGAAAACTCCACAGTGGGCAGGGTGGGTGCACAGTGTCAGAGAGACCTGGTGACTATAAAGTGCTCGCTGGCTAAAACAGCAGGAGCCTTTTTGCATTGCAGAAGACTTTTACAGTCCACAAGGTGCCCTCTGAGAGGTGGGGAACATTTTGGCAGGAAGCCATCTGAGGTTACAATTGGCCAAGGAAAGCCACCATAATTGTGCTGTGGGCTCACATCCTATGTCAGAGCCTTTTATACAAGTGCATGCAGCAAGCGTGTTGACTCCTACAAATGGCTCCTTGCCTTTTCAGTCCCAAGGGTGCGCTTCGCCAACGATGACCGGCACCGCCTGGCCTGCTGCTCCCTGGATGGCAGCATTTCCCTGTGCCAGCTGGTACCTGCCCCACCCACTGTGCTCCGTGTGCTGCGAGGCCACACCCGTGGTGTCTCAGACTTTGCTTGGTCTCTCTCCAATGACATCCTTGTGTCCACCTCACTTGATGCCACCATGCGCATCTGGGCCTCTGAGGACGGCCGCTGCATCCGGGAGATCCCTGACCCTGATGGCGCCGAACTGCTCTGCTGCACTTTTCAACCTGTCAACAACAACCTCACTGTGGTCAGGCTCCAGGGAGCCCGCTCACCATGGGGCTGTGGGAGGGCATCGAGTAGAAGGTCTAGGAGCCCCCCAGGCCCATCACAGTAGCCTTGCTGTGGTCGGGTTCAAAGGAAGGAACCCTGACAAGTGGGAAGGCAGAGTAGTTTGTAGTCTCAAGTGGCTTTGCTGGGTAGACTCCAGGAGGGTGGGGGAGTCATGGCTCTGGGACCCCTTAGGCCTATCAGCCAGAGTCCTACAGTTATCCATCTGCAGGGGCTGCTGCTGGGGAACAAGATGATGACTGCGAGCTCATCCCTCTGTTGCGGTCACGTTCCAGAACAGGCTTCTCAGAGGGCAGGAAGGCCATAGAGAGTCTGGCCTGGGTGACCAAGTGTGAGCCGGTGCTTAGCACCTTTCTCCATTCAGAGCAGCAGCCTCAGGATCCCCAAAGAGGAGCTATCGATCAAGTGCGGGCAAAACTAGCTTATCATAGGCCTGGATTGTAAAACAGTTCTCAGACTGGCTAAGGGGTGGCATTATGGCTCTGAGACTCCTTTAGTTCCATAAACTGCTGTCCTGCCCCTAGGCAGATTTCAAGAGAGGCTGGCTAAACTGGGCCTGGTGGTACAAGCCTGTAATCCCAGTACTTGGGAAGCTGGTGCAGGAGGATTGTTGCAAGTTAGAGACCATCCTGGGCTACAAAATGAGTTCAGGGTCAGCTTGAACTTCATAGCAAGACCGTCTCAAAAAGTCCAAAGTGGCGGGGTGGGGGGCTGGCTAGGAGGCAAGGCAGGTGCCTTGGTTGTCTTCTGGTTCTCTGCCGCACCTCCCCACTCCCCCCACCCCACTTCTTGTGATCAGACTCCAGGAGGAACTGGCTAGGTATGGTATGAGAGTGTGCCTGTTCTCCCTACAGGTGGGGAATGCCAAGCACAACATACATGTAATGAACATTTCCACTGGTAAGAAAGTTAAGGGTGGCTCCAGCAAGCTGACAGGCCGTATCCTAGCTTTGTCCTTTGATGCCCCTGGCCGGCTGCTCTGGGCAGGCGATGACCGTGGGAGTGTCTTCTCCTTCCTCTTTGACATGGCCACAGGTAGGCAGGCCTCAGCCTTTTATCTGGGTGTGGTCCTTCTGTCTCCCAGGGTTTAGACCTCATGCTTACCTCTGCCTCCTGCCTCCACCACTGCAGGGAAGCTGACAAAAGCCAAGCGGCTGGTAGTACACGAAGGCAGCCCAGTGACCAGCATCTCTGCCCGCTCCTGGGTCAGCCGTGAGGCTCGGGACCCCTCGCTGCTTATCAACACATGCCTCAACAAGCTGCTTCTGTACAGGTGGGCTCTCCATCCTCCATCAGCCTGGGCCAGGAGTCTGTCTCCTGATAGCAGGGTGTGACAATGCTGCAGATATAACTCGGTCATACAGTACTTGCCTATTTTGCACAAGGCCCAGTATTAGAACTAATGATAATAACAACAGCAATACCCAAAGATGACAACGATAAGGCCAGTAGCAGCAGTGGAATAACAGCGGTAGCAAATGCCTGGACAGCAGTTGGCACATGGAGGACAGGCCCCATGCAGATCACTTTCTCTGGATCGCCTCATGTAGTCCTCATACGGATCGTGATGCAAGCACTGTTATTTCTTCCATTTTACACTTAAGTAGACAGAGCCTTAGGCTGGGAGTGCAGCTCAATAGTAGAATGCTTGCCTGACATGTGCCAGCACCCTACGTTTGATGCCCAGAACTGCAAAAAGCGGGGGAAAAAAGAACATGGTCCCCTGATAGCACAGGCCTGTTTTCTTTCTGTTTTTTTGATTCATTGTGCTTGTTTAGTTTGCAGCTCTGAGGATTGAAGCCAGGGCCTTGACCATATGGCATATGCTCTGCCCACTGAGCTACATCTACTTTGTTTGTTAGAGATAGAGTCTTACTGTCTTGAATGCTGTGTAACTTTTCTAGGCTGGCATCACACCTGGAATCCTTTGACTTCTTGAGTGCTTGGTTTATGGGCTTGTGCTACAATGCCTGGTTTCAGACCCTTATCATTTTAAAAAATACATTTGGAAGGAGTATCTCCTTGCCTGCCTCTGTCATGTTACACAAATGTGACTTTCAGTCTGGGCTATGTGTTGGAATACCCTGAAACGCTTCAAAAAGTCACAGCCAGACCATTCTGGGCCAGTGATTTCAGAAGCTCTGGGGTGGCCCTGGGCTTCATATGTTGAAAAATTCCCCAAGCAACATGCAATCTGGCCTGAAGACCATGCCCCGAAATATGTTTTTATTATACTATTTTTGTTTTTTGTCTTTCTGAGACAGAGTTTCACTTTACAGTTCAGGCTGACCTTGAACTCACTGTTGTAGTCCAGGCTAGCCTTGAACACGCAGCAATCTTTTTGCCTTATCCTCTCGAGTGCTGGGATTACAGATGTGCATTACCACTCCTGGCTATTGTACCATAGTTTATTATTTTTCCCCTTTAAAAAATTTCTGTGTAGGGCCAGGAGTTTAGCTCAGCAGCATAAGCACTTACCTGGAAAGTGCAAGCTCATGAGTTCAATCCTTGACACACACACACCAAAAAAAATTCTGTGTAGATACATACTTTCTTAAATTCTTACTTCAAGTATATGCTTAAGATTTTTTTTTTCATTTTATTTTGTTTGAATTGTTCATTTGTTTAGTTTGAGATAGAGTTTTGCTATGTAACCCAGGCTGGGCTCACTCTTGTGCTCTTGCCTCAGCCTCCCCAGTGCTGGAATCACAGGTGGGCAGCACCACATCACACCCCCCTCGCACTCCCTCCATCTGCTACCTTGGCCTTCCCCCAGCAGTGTCTCAGCATGCACATGCCCTCCCACTTCTCTGAGAGAGGGGCATGCTGTCCAGAGATGGCCCTCGTGCACTCAGGCACATCTCTCTTTTCTCCCCAGAAGATGCTTTGGGAAACCCCAGTCACCCAGCTAAAGTTCATTCTCTTTAGTGGCTATGCCCCTTTCACAGGGTGGACAGAGTGGTTGTATACCCACTTCCTCTTTTTGTTCCTGTCTTGATGACAGGATGGTTTAGATTCTGAAAAAAATAGGAATAAACGAGACTGCAGAGCTCCCATTTGTGTCAACAGATACTGTGTCTAGTCTGTCGAAAACTTGCACAGCAGCTGCTACAGAGAGGTGCATGCCATCATCTCAGCACTAGCGTTCAGCTGGTCATGGTTGTACAAGTCTGTAGTCCCAGCTGCTTGGGAGGCTGAAGCAAGAGAATCACTTGAGCCCAGGAGTTTGGAGCTATCCTGGGCAACAGAGTGAGACCCTGTATCAAAACAAAACAGTAAAACAAACAGGATTTTATGAACCTTGGAAAGAACTCAGGCTTAGGGGTGGCAGACTGGCCCACCAATGATGATCCCCTGGGACTGATGCTGTGCCTTGACCCAACCTCTTGACCTTTACTCAGGGTGGTGGATAACGAGGGGACTTTACAGCTGAAGAGAAGCTTCCCCATTGAGCAGAGCTCACACCCCGTGCGCAGCATCTTCTGCCCCCTCATGTCCTTCCGCCAGGGGGCCTGTGTGGGTGAGTTCTGGGGGTTCAGGAGCCTGGGTGGCTAGAGGATGGTTAGGGCCAGACCTGGTGACACCCCAACACCATGACTTCCTGGGTCTTGTGACTAATCATGCCCTCCAAATGTTTCAAACACAGACCCCCAAATACCCCAGAGTCCTCCACTCTGCACATGGAACTGAGCGGCCACATGAGCTCCCAGCTAGGGATCTGGCACCTCCTTATAGCCTCTCTCTCCCCCGGACAGTGACAGGCAGTGAGGATATGTGTGTGCACTTCTTCGACGTGGAGCGAGCGGCCAAGGCTGCTGTCAACAAGCTTCAGGGCCACAGCGCACCCGTGCTTGACGTCAGCTTCAACTGTGACGAGAGCCTGCTGGCTTCCAGTGACGCCAGTGGCATGGTCATCGTCTGGAGGCGGGAGCAAAAGTAGGGTTGTCCCAGCCCTGTGCTGTCCCCGGTGCCACCCTGACTCTGCCCTAGCCTTGTGTTGTAAATAAAGTTCCTGTGGTTGTGGTAAGGGCCAGCTCCCAAGTCAGCCAAGAGGTGTTATGAGGGAGGGGACAGCTTCAGCCGCTGTAGGTGGAGTGAGTCCTCCATTCATTCACCCAGCAAGCACTTACTCAGTGCTGTGTCACAGTGGTCACATAGCCGTGCCACCAGCAGACAGTATTGAGCACCAACTGTGCCAGGAGCTGTGCTAGGCACTGGGGACACTCCTGTGACCTAGACTGACAGAAATCCCTGCCTTCATAGCTTTGCATCCTAGGGAAGGGAAAGGGGCCATAGGCAGAAACACAGCCTTAATGTGTTTCACTTTGTGACCTTTCAACTATCTGAGGTTTTTACTCCCCATTGGTGGACAAGTGTACCCATATAGCCTGTCTGGTTCCATTTTCAGTACAGTATCAACAAGTGACTGAAGTGAGTCAGCACTACATCATACCACAGGCTTTGTGTTGGCTTAGTTGTGCTTAGATTAGATATAGTCAGTGCATTTTGATGTAGGCTTTGCTTCTTTCTTTCTTTCTCTTTTCTTTTTTGAGACAGGGTATCACTCTGTAATTTAGGCTGGTCTTGAACTCACTGTGTAGCCCAGGCTAACCTCAAACACAGCAATCCTCCTGCCTCAGCTTCCCAAGTGCTGAGATTATAGGCATGTTCCTGGTTTGCTGTAGAATATTTTCAGTTTATGATGGGCTTCTTGGCACATAACCCTATGATGAGTTGAGGATAATCACTTCTCAGTCTTTTGGCTAAGATCAAGTGTAGTATTTTTAATAAGCTTAATAAATTGAGGAGAAACATCTACACATAATAAACCAGTGAAAGACAGATGATGTGACGAATGAAAGGAGAGGTGTAAAAGTGGTTCTTGGGCTTTCTTGATGATGTTATTAGGGAAGAACCTAGAGAATGAACAGAGACCTGAATGAAACAGAGGGAGCCACAGTGTGTGGAACACTGGATGGAGAAAGGCCAGCACGAAGGCCAAAGGATAATCATACAGGCCAGAATATGGCTGAGCCCAGCATGGTAGTTCATGAGGTCAAACAGGCCAGATGCTATTGGGCTTCTTTTTTTTTTTTTTGTCTTTTTCCTTTTTATTGGTACCGGGGATCAAACTCAGGACTGCCTGCTTGCAAGGCAGGCGCTTATGCCACTGAGCTAAATCCCCAGCCCCTCTATTGGGCTTCTTGAAGTACAATGAGGACTCTGGCCTCTTCCTGAGTGAGAAAAAAGCCACTAGGTGATTTTAAGCAGAGGAAGGGTGTAGCCTGGCAGCAGTGGAGGAAATGAGTGAGGGATGCTGGATTTCCTTCCTGGGCTTTGAAGATATTGTGCCGCAGGACTCTGCCAGCTCTTCACAGAGATTGAGATGTAGCAGCCCTTGCCTGGTGGGCTCCAAACATCTGCCCTGGATTCTTTCCCACAGCAGAAAGCAGAGGTATTTTGTTTTGTTTTGTTTTTGCTTGTTTGGTTTTTAGTTTTTTGAGACAAGGTCTCACTCTGTAGCCTGTGCTGGCCTTGACTATGTAGCCCAGGGTGGGCTCGAACTCACAATTCTTCTGATTCAGCCTCCTAAGTGCTGAAATTATAAGTGTTCTCCACTACCGCAGGCAGGTGTTGAATTCTTGGAGCACTCAGCCAGTGCAGGGTCCTGAGACTGTACTGGGGGGGGGGGTCCTACCCTGAGATGGAGGCAACAGGAACTCTTCCAGTCCACCCGATCTCCTCCCATGCCCACTCAGGGCCCAAATACAAGCCTTGGAACAGCTCAGAAATTGAAAAGTGATGTCAATATGGAGCCCCAAGTGAGGAGAGACTGTTTGGATGGGTGCTGGCAGGGTAAAATTACCCAAATCCATGTCGATGGCAGGAATCACTGGAAGATATCACGGAGGCTCTTGCTCCAGCTGCACTTCCTGCTGCTCTACACATTAGGATGTATACATCAATCTGAACAATGGTATACATCTTGGGACCTCAGGGCTGGCCCACAGAGTCACAGAGATTCCAGCCTGATGACCCAGAGTTACCACAAGCTACAGAACTGACACCAGCGATCTGATTCAGGGAGGAAAACCACTGGCATTGGCTCAGGGTGCTGTTATTGGGTGATATGGTTACTTGCAGCCCAAACCATTTCTGACCAGCACCTCCACCTGATAAAACCTTGGGGTAAGTGCTATGCGATAAGGATATCCCTGAACTGGATTGTTCACATGGTCAAGGTCATATAAGTAGTTGTAGGCTCAGTGATTGGCTAGGAAGATGAATAGGACTCTGCATAGAGTTGTATTTGTGGCTCTGATTGGTCCTAGCAGAAAGCTCCAGAACCATATCAGCAAAGGAAAATGGCACACTGGGCCAGGTCAGGGGAGACCAGTGCAGTGTGCTCAGTTTCCCTAGTCACAAGTTGTAACAATACATGTGTCATGCTGCCAACTAGGGAAGTTCACTGGAGACTCAATGCCCAGGGCTTTTATTGGACTGGTTGGGTAGGCACCTTTGCCTGGCACATAACCAGGTTCCCAAGCCTCAGAAGGAAAGTAAGTGTTCAGCATAAGCCACACTCCTTGTCAAACAGCTTAGGCAGAGTGGACCATTACATCTGGGGGAACAACGGGAATGCTCCGAAATGTCCATTCCTAGACACCAGCCAGGGCCAAGCTTGAAGTCACCCTCCTGAGGACAGCAGCTCAGGTCAGCTGCGTGCTTCTCTGTGCTACAGTTTTCAAGGCCGACCAGGTGCTGTTTCAGCCAAGGTCTGTGGACAGCAAGGTACTTGGGGAACCTCAGTTTTCTCTAACTTTTTTTCCTCACTCTTCATGTCCTTTATTCAGTCTGGATTCAGGATGATTAGTCATGATTATTATTGTGCATGATTTGGGGGTTTCATCTTTGTGAAATTTTTGAGGTGGTAGAGTCAACATTCTACTTTGAGTTCATCTTGGTGATACTTTTCTTGACTTACAACCCAAGGGGAAATAAATACTGAACAAATAATAAAGAATAAAAATTAATGTTCTTGGTTGTTCTTGGGCCTCTGTGAACTCTTCTTTTATCAACTGTGCCTGTGTGACATCAGACCTGGAGTTCAGTTAGCCATTCCACCTCAGAGCCAGGCCTCTGTGACCTGATCCATAGTATTTTTCTGAGTTTGCACCTGAGTGCTATTACTTTACCTTCAGAGAGGTTCTCTGCTCCGAGCCTGAAGCTGGGCTTTGTTAACTTTTATTCCACCAGTATCCATCCAGACAAACCTCAAACCAAGGTTTCTGCAAAATACTCCACCATTAACTGGCTTCTGATCTGAACTTGAAACTAGGCTTCTACTAATCACTTTGTGATCAATGCCCTTATTCTCTGAGGATCCTCAATCCTGACCTTGCATCTGGGCCGCTATTACCTTTCTGTGATCAATTCCAACCTACACCTCTGTGTTAACAGTTGGATTTTGGATATTTGTATGGTCTAAACTTTAAGCCCAGCCCTCTGTTAACTATTCTAGCATCACTATCTCTTTGACCTCAAATCTGGCATTTGTTTGATTTTTGGTGCTAGGAATAAACCCAGAGCCTTTTTCATGCTAGGCAAGCACTCAAAACTGAGCTATAACCTCCAGCCCAAGGGCATGTCTTCCTTGTTTCTGGGGAGTGTACTGGAGTTCAAGTTCAGGGTATTCTGCCATGAAGCTATATATATATATAGTACTTTTTATTTGAGCCAGGATCTCACTAAGTTGCACATACTGGCCTTGAGTTGGCAATCTTCCTACCTCAGCCTCTAGAGTAGCTGGATTAGAAAGCCCCACAAGCCAGCACAGCTTGGCATTTCTTGGTGTTTCCTCCACCAGTCCTGTCTAATACAACCTCAAACCCAGGCACTTGAAACTATCATCATCAGTGTCCATCTGGTCTATCCTCAAACCTAGGCCTCTTATAATAGTTTCATCATCAGGATACCTAGCTTTACTTTTTTTGTTTCTTTGATTTTTGTTTGTTTGTTTGTTTGTTTGTTTATCGATACCGGGGATCGAACTCACGACTGCCAGCTTGCAAGGCAGGGCGCTTATGCCACTGAGCTAAATCCTCAGCCCCTGTTTCTTTGATTTTTGAGATAGGGTTTCACTATGCAGCTGAGCTAGCCTTGTACTCACTTTGCAGCCAAGGATGGCCTCAAATTCATAGTGATCCTCCAACCTCAGCCTCCTAAGTGCTGGAATGACAGGTATGCACACCATGCCTGGCCTCCTAGTTTCACTTTAAATGTGAATCTTTTTAACTCTTCCATCAGTGTCATGGACTATTTATGATCCCACCATCAACAATAACTCTTTTCAAGTCATTTTGGGGTGGATATCTCAGCAAGCAGGGAAGCATCGCAGGTTCCAGAGGCCCCGCGGCCTGCAGTAAGTGCTCAGTGCACTTTTCCCAAAGCCCAAACTGGTCGGGACCCTCCAGGCTTCCGGGTGCAGTGAAGTGGATAAGTGGGTTTGAGGCATCTACATCTGCCTCCCCATTCCGGCTGCGCTTGGAGAACTGTGGAGCTTCCAACAAACAGGTGGGCACACAGTGTCCCTGAAGCCCAGATTATCTGGAAATATGGAGTTCTAAACAGGCAGAAGAGGGCCATTGGTTCTACAGGCCCAGTGGCTTGGGGTAACTGGGTGCCAGAGTCTCAGGAGCTTTGAACATAGAAGGGGATTTCCAACAGACCCTGAGGAAGCTTTAAAATAACACTTGAAACACAGAAATATAGGAAAATGACAAAACGAAACACCAAATTACAACCTCAAACCTCCAGCCCATCTCAAAAAACCCTAGGAGCGATGTATATAGAAGAAAATATATCCCATCCACCTCATATATCGGACACAATAGCCACTGAAATTGACAAGCAACTCCAGGAAGCTTTAAAGAAATTCAAACTCGAAATAATCTCCCAGGTAAAAGAAGAAATGATAAAAGAAATGAAAGAGATTCTGAGTATATCTAAAGAAAACACAGTTAAAAAATTGGAGGAACTAAACAAAAAGATAGAATCCCTAGATGAGCAATATAAGAAACAAACAATACATAATGCAGATGCACAGAGATATACAGGAAATAAAAAACTCCACTGAAAGTTGTAAAATCCGCCTCAATGAAAGTGAAGATAGAATTTCAGACCTTGAAGACAGGATTGCAGCTAGTGAACAGGAAAGGAAAGATCTTTTAAAAATAACAAGGAATCAGGAAACAACAATTCAACAACTGCCAGACAATGCAAAGAAAAATAGCATAAAAATGATAGGGATTAATGAAAAAGGAGACAACATAAAGGATGTCAAGAGGATATTAAGAGAAGTAATAGCTGAAAATTTCCCAAGCATGAGATAAAAAACCGACATCAGGATCAGTGAATCATATAGAAATCCAAATAGTCATAACCAAAATAAAACTACACCCAGACATATAATAATCACCATCCCAGAAATCCAAGACAAGAATAGATTATTAAAAGCTGTCAGAGAAAAGACAGATCACTTATAAAGGAAAACCTATCAGAATCACAGCAGACTTCTCAGCACAAACAATAAAGTCAAGAAGAGCATGGAGTGAAGTATTCCAGATCCTAAAGCAAAATGATTTCCAACCTAGACTGATGTATCCTGCAAAACTATCATTCAAAATTGATGGTGAAATACGATACTTCCATGACAAAGAACAGCTGAAGAACTTCATGAACACCAAACCAACCCTGCAAAAAATATTGAAAGACAGTTTATATACACAAAGGAAAAAACCACTAAGCAAAGCAGATAATTAAACAGAACAGAAAGATAAAGATGCAACAGCAGAGAGATAACATGTCAACAATAAACCAGCATTTAACAGTAATAACCATTAATGTAAATGGTCTCAATGCACCAATCAAAAGAAACAGACTAGCAGAATGGATCAAGAAACAAAATCCAACCATATGCTGTTTACAGGAAACCCATCTAACCCAGAAGGATACTCACAGACTGAAAGTCAAAGGATGGAAAACAATACTTCATGCAGCAGGAATCCAAAAAAAAAAAAAAGCAGGAGTAGCCATTCTGTTTGCAGACAATGTGAACTTTAAACCAACAATGACCATAAAGGACAAACGTCACTACATATTCATTAGGGGAAAACTCCAAGAGGAAGAGATAACTATCTTAAATATATATGCACAAAACTCCAGAGCACCCAGTTACATAAAACAACTATTGACAGAAATGAAAACTCAAATTATCAGTAACACAATTGTAACAGGAGACCTTAATACGCCATTGACACCAAGGGACAGATCAATCAGACAGAAAATGAGCAAAGAAATAACAGAACTGAATCACACCTGCGAACAAATGGATTTGATAGACATATACAGAATGTTCCACCCAACAACATCAGAATACACATTCTTCTCAGCATTACATGGATCATTCTCTAAAATAGACCATATATTAGCTCACAGAACATATTTAAACAAATGCAAAAGATTTGAAATCATCCCTTGCATGTTATCGGATCATAGCGCTCTGAAATTAGAAATTAATGATAAAAGATACTGCAAAAATCCCACAAACACATGGAAACTGAATAACACACTTGAGTAATCAGTGGGTCACAGAAGAAATTAAAGAAGAAATTTAACATTACCTAAAAGAAAATGAAAATGCAGATACAACTTACCGGCATTTGTGGGATGCAATGAAAGCCATCCTCAGAGGAAAATTTATTGCACTGAGTTCCCACATCAGGAAAACACAATGAATACAAATAAATAACTTGATGCTACACCTCAACCAGCTAGAAAAAGAAGAGCAAGTCAAGCCCAAAGCCAAAAGAAGAGAGGAAATTATAAAAATCAGAGCAGAAATCAATGCAATAGAGACTAAGAAAACAATCCAAAGAATCAACGAATCAAAGCGTTGTTTCTTTGAAAGAATAAATAAGATCGATAAGCCCCTAGCCAATCTTATTTAAAAAAGGGAAGAAAAAGCTCAAATTCATGCAATAAGAAATGAAAAAGCTAAAATCACTACAGACCCAATAGAAATACAGAAGATCATCAACAGTTATTTTGAAAACCTCTACTCTCAAAGGTTTGATAACACAGAAGAAATAGACAGATTCTTAGAAACATATGAAGTACCCAAGCTAGATCAAGAGGATGTAAAACTGTCGAATAATCCAGTCTCTGTTAATGAAATTGAAAGTGTAATTAAGTCCTTACCTACAAAGAAGAGCCCAGGCCCAGATGGATTCCCTGCAGAATTCTACAAGAAATACAAAGAAGACCTAATGCCAACACTCCTCAAACTATTCAATGAAATTGAAAGGGAAGCAATCCTTTCTAAGTCATTCCTGGAAGCAAATATTACTCTAGTACCAAAACCTGAGAAAGATGCAACTAAAAAAGAGAACTATAGACCGATCTCCCTAATGAACACAGATGCAAATATCCTCAATAAAATATTGGCAAATAGGATGCAGCAAATCATCAAGAAGATTATACACCATGACCAAGTGGGATTCATCCCAGGAATGCAAGGATGGTTCAACATACGTAAATCAATAAATGTAATCCACCATATCAATAAAGCCAAAGGTAAGAATCACATGATCATTTCTATAGATGCAGAAAAAGCCTTCGATAAGGTCCAACATTCATTCATGATAAGAACTTTACAGAAAATGGGAATAGGTGGTCTTTACCTCAATATAATAAAGGCCATTTATGACAAACCAACAGCTAGCATCATAATAAATGTCCAAAAATTGAAAGCCTTTACTTTAAAATCAGGCACAAGACAAGGATGTCCTTTATCACCACTCCTATTTAATATAGTACTGGAAGTACTAGCCAGAGCAATTAGGCAAGAGAGAAATAAAAGGGGTAAAGATAGGAAAAGAAGAAGTTAAATTATCATTGTTTGCAGATGACATGATACTCTACATAGAAGACCCCCTAACTCCATGGAAAGACTCTTAGATATAATAAATAAACTCAGTAATACAGCTG